CAGTGTTTGTTGTTTTCTGGCAACCTCCTGAGCAGCTGCTCTCCAGAAAGCCTCACCTCAACAGTACAGTTAGAATGCCGACGCTAGAACAAAAAGATGAATCGCCTTGCTGGCAAGAGGGATGTTTTGTTTTCAGTAAAGTGCATCAAATTTCATCTCACAGGTCTTACCCAGCAAAAGTCGATTCATTTTCCTCTGTTCCAGGGTAAAGAAGTGACTGTCAAGAAGCTGCATTTCTGTTGCAAATTATTGCATTGAATAATGGTGTTATTTTTCTTGTCTACACAAGTCTTTAGTGATTTGTTTATGGATTTGAACTCATGGTTACAGGGTGCCAGCGATTTCTAATCGGAGAGCAGCTTGAACACAGGATTTGATGTTATATACTGTACTGACCATGACCACGGAGATGTCAAATCCTAGTCTGGCAATATATAAACTCTGCCTTGAACTGGCTGGCTTGATTTCAGAGTGACTCCATCTTTCTTAGCTTTGTTGCATGTCTAAAGTTGCTGGCAGCACATATTTGTTGGTACTTCAGTCTAAAAAATGATCGGTTTGGCGCTGCAGGCTAAAAAATGGTTCCCATTTACGTGTTTGTTTGTACTTCAGGCTAAAAGATGGATGCTGGTTTACAATTTGTTGGCACTAGTTGCTGGTTAAGAGTCCCAGTTAGGACAGATGTGAATGTCCAGCTGCACTCTTTGTTTCCAGTGGATGCCACATTTTTTTGTGTTTTAACGTGCACACACTCTAAGTCATTTTATGCTTTTGTATTTGTTGTTATGCAAATTGCAAGGGCTTCTCAAAAATGGCAACTCTTGTCGGGTGTTCCCAGTATGCAATGGTAAAGTACTTACAAGAAGTGGCCCAAGGAAGGACAACTGGTGAACTGGCAATATGGTACGTGGTCAGGGTTCAGGGTGTTCCGTGCCCAAGGTTCACTGATAAGAGTGACGAACTACTGGACCACAAATTGCTGAAAACCTTAATGCATGGTTATGACAGAAAATGTGTCAGTCCACCTAATGAATCACAGCTTGTTATGACAAGAACAGTCAGAGTGCCCATGCTGACTCCTACCTACAGTCCAAACTTCTTACAATGGATATGCGAGTGTTGTACCATGAAGCAATGGAAGACGATGGCTTGGTTGGATGAATCACATTTTCGTCAACATCTTGTGGCAGTGTTCTAGTGGAAAACCTTGGGTCCTGGCATTCCTGTGGATGCTACTTTGAGACATAGTGCCCACCTAGATGTTACCAACCATGTACGTACATGCCTTCATGGGAGGGCTTTCATGGAACGGCAGCAGTCTCTTTCAGCAGGGTAATGTTTTAGCAGTGTGGCAAAAGTTGTTCATGAATGGTTTGAGAAAAACAACAAAAACTTTAAGGTGTTGACTTGGCCTGAACATTTCTTAGAAGGTTGCCTGATGTCACCATCAGAGGTCTTGTGAGGTCCATGCCTCCACAGCTGCAGGAGACCTACACAACATTAGGCAGGTGGTTTTAATGTTGTTGCTGATGCTTTCTAATGGCCTGTATGGCAGATACAACACTAAAGCGGAAAAAAAATTAATGTGTTTTGCGCACTGGACACAGATCATGTGAAAGCAGCTTAAGTGAAGTCAGACACAAGAATATTTCAGTTCTTCTTTTGTGTTCATGCTCGTGTGAATGTTTGTGTGTTAATCTCTGGCTTACTAGGCTGCTATTATTTCCTCTGATTGTGTACAGTTTTATTTAATTGAAGTACCCTGAATTTATATCCATTCAATCAAGAATCGTTTACTCTGTGCTCACAGAAATCAGCCTATTAAAAGATTAGATGTTGGCTAGGGCACATTTCATTGTGTTTGCAACGAATGGACCAACACAGTACATAGATGTTTTCACTTAAAATGATCTTTTATCACCTAAATTTGTTTTTGTTGCCGTTAGACTTTGAAATGAATAGCATAATGGCACAATAAACTGTAAATCCCTTCTCTGCGTCAGCCCATCTGTTTACCCAGAAACCACTTCTGATGCAGCCTACATATAATTCAGCTGTGATGAGGAGAATGTTGGCAAGCTTTTCAGACTTTGTGGTCAACACTGGGTGTGTGTAATGTGTTTACAAGAGCGAGTGTGTGTGTTGCTAATCACAAACTCTGTCACAAACCTGCTCTTGGAGCCAGTCGCTAGCCACAGCGCTGTGGTTCTAATTAACAGACTGGGGTATTGTGCCCATGCCGAGCCCTGCTCTTTGGTGTATGTGTGTGTTTTCTGTTGTGTTTATGTGTGCTCCACACTTAGGCCTCATAGAGACAGGTTTTATGATCATATCCTGCTCTCTTTCCCCTAACTCCCAAACATCCTAGAGATATTTCATAATGTTAGGGAAACACAGAGGATATGCTCGCCAAGTGGTCTCTCTCGCTCTCCTTTATGTGTCTCTTGCCCTCTCTTCCAAAGCCCACTATGCAGTGCTATTCTGTGCCAGGTCTAGTTAGTGAGTGTATTTGTCCAATTACCCAGAGGTTTAAAGCTGCCAATCATGCGGCGATGCCACATCGTAAAGCCTCATTGCTGAGCTGTGCTCTGTGCCTAAATAAACACCTGAATAAACACCTTGGTAATCGCTTCAGTCCACACCTAAACGCACACACGTACACGTTAGCACACACCTACTACACGCACACCTTGCATGCTCAGCCACCCATAGTGTGGATCTCTGATCTCCGTCCAATGCCCAAAGCAGTGGTCCTGTTGTCCGATGTGATTAGAGAACACAGAAAATTATGATGTAAACATTCCAGCTGGGTTTATCAGGAGGCAATGTGGAGTTGTTAAGAAGTGATCTACAGTACTGTCCAATTCATTCGCAATAAATCTGTCTCTGTCCCTAAACCCTTCTCTTCTTTCTGTCTTCTCTCTGTTCGACTTGGCTCCTCGTTTCACGTCTATTATTTATGGTTGTGTTATTTATGATGGGCATTTATGAGTTAGTCTGGCCACACTTTGCGAAGCAGGCTGGTGATGCTGTTCAGCAAGAAAAGAAAAAAAAATGATAGAGGAGATTTCTAATTAAAGATTACAATCATCGACCTTTGTGCACTTGAGTCAAAACAACACTCCTTTTGTAACATTTTCTTAAATGTCACGAACAAACGTTTGTGCGTATAATAGCTACTGAGGCCTTTACCATATTTCCACTCACACCTCTCACCACACTCTCTTTTTCTTTTGTTCTTTTACTACTTCACGATCTCAGGAGCGAGTGATTGAGAACCTCCGGGAGCAGAAGGACCGGGAGGACAGGGTTCGGCTAGAGGAGCTGGCGCAGATGAGGAAGGAGAACCAGGAATTGAAAGACAAACTCTCAGCCCTGCAACCCCAGAAACTGTCTCAGAGCCAGACTGCTAACCCCAGCCCAACCCAGAACCAGAGGCCTGATGGAGAGGTCAGTTTAGATTGATAAGGGTTTTAATTGGGTAAATGATGTTGTTTAGATAATAAGTGTATGTGTGTGTGTGTGTGTGTGTGTGGTATGCAGGGCTGCTAGATCTTGTGAATATGTTTTGACTCGCGTTTTAATCATCTCCAAGTGTTAAAATGAACCTAAACAAACTATAGCATGTAGTTGGAAGGTTCTGCATGTAGATATGAAGTCAAGATTGCTGGTTTGATATGTGTGGACTGTAGACAAACAGCCATCAGTACAAGTACTGCCTATACTATGCACTTTGTCCCACAGGATAAAGGGATGAATTAACCGAGTGATTTATGGACGTAAAAGATCTCTCTATCCCTGTTCGGGTGCCAAGTCGGAGGCCTTGCTCTTTTTTCTCTCCCTTTTTCTTCTCCCAGCCTTACAAGCCAGGACAGACTCTTGCCCTGCCAGAATTTATGAGGATTTTTTTCATTTATACTCATAAAAAGCATACACACATCTCATTCCTGTGAAATGATATCTTGTTGAATGTTGATGCGGCACCACATGAAAGTGACAACAGCTCAATAACTCTTTGTCGAAAACATATTCACACTCTGACAGAAGTGTTGCCATAATTGGACTATTTTGTGTACTCGGCAGCAATCAGACCTGTTATGTAAACTCACAGATTCTTCAAAAGGAGAGATGATGTTCGCGTGTTTATATATGTGTGCACGCATATGTGTGTGTGTGTGTGGGTTGTGTGACTGTGTATGCATGCCAGCACAGAGACAACTGTTGATGTGCGTGTGTATTTGCGAGTGTCTGCTTGTGTTCAGGTGTGTTCAGCTCTTTTGTAGTGCAGCGATGAGCGCCAGGCTGTGAGCCCGTTGTATTGAGTAGGTCAGAGGTGAGCCGACATGCTGCCTGAGATTAGATTTTGATTAAACCGAGGAACCAGAAACTCACACGCACAAGTGCACATTCGCCAAGGTGCTGACAAGCCAGTCTGTGATACATTTCAATGCCGACTGGTGCTTGTGCTTTTGCTGTAAATACTATTTAGTCAAATTCTGATCTCCAGTATGTTGCGTACAGTACAAGCTTCACTTCAAAGTATTGTAGACGGCAGAAATCCAACACCAATAAAAATCCAATGATGGTCATTTAATAAAACTGAACTGACAGTTCCAAGCCATAGTCAAACCCTACTTTGTCATGACAATTGTATTCCCCTGCCTCTTGGCAAGTAGCTGCACCATGACTCGGTCAAGTTGGTGGAATGACCTGCTGTCCATTTTCTGATGCCAGTTAAAAATCCACTAGAAAACAAGAATAAACCTCTTTTGCCTCCAAAAAAAAAAAAATCAATTTGACCGTAGCTTTAAACATGTCCTTAGCTGTTTGTTTGTGAGGATTCCATTTCTAGATTTTAATGGCTCTTGTCCCTATTCGGTTTCGATGCACTTATGGTGAGTTTCTTTGGACAAAATCATGTCTCAAGAGATTGTAATGCAAAAAAGTGAAAGCTGAGTCATGAACATAGAACGTTTCTGCTTAAAAACAATGTGTTGCTCTGTAGAAATGTATTTATTAAAATTTCTGAAATCTCCTTGTTTTTTTTTTAAAACATTACCGGCTGGCGTTATACACAGTAAATGTTTTTGAAATAGAAAATGTCAGTACAATAATTGTATGATTATATTTCAGCCTTATTTTGACATTAATGGGAAATATCTCCAGGAAATTGAGAAATAAGCAGTTTTTCCTGACAGCACAATATGAGTTACCTCTCAAGCAGATGTAGAGTTTGCCATCAGGTCATGTACACACAGTGGTCCGCTCACTGTATCTGCAGATGTTTGTATTATTGACTCAGTCAAGCTGTTAGCGGAGCTTTTTATCTTGACCTCAGAGCTCTGTTGACTTCACTGCATCCTCATCCTCTTCCCATGAAACAGTATTTGTTGATTCCGATTTTAATAAAGGACTTCTGGAACTAAACACCAGCTCTTCAAAGAGAAAAACACCAAAGAACCTCAGGGAAGGCAGTGACCTTTTCAGAGAGGATTGGCTTGAATCAGTAAGGAGGCACCACACCTTAAAAGACTTTTGAGTCCTTTTCAAAAGACAATTTAGTCTTTTCAAACCAGGCCAATGCCATATTGTCTTACATTTTTTCATATTTCTTCTGCCTTGCTTCTCGTTGATTATAAAACAGAAGTGAGACTAACATTGAGCGATATTTAATGACATAAGAGTGTAGTCATGTCAAGATTTTACCTTTTTAGGAGTCAAAGCTGTTTTTTAAATACTACGCAGGCTCTGTGTTGCTGGGTAGCCTCTGGCCAGGACTTTAATAACTCAGTGCAAAGCCTGGTGGCCACACTCAAGAGACGTTTCCAGGAATGATAATAATAATTTGACTGTATATGTAATTGTATCTTTACTGGCCTTTCCCCTCCTGTCATAATATCACAAATTCCTGTCGGACCCACTGTCCTTTCAGCCTCTGCTTTCCACTTGTCTGTGTTTGCCAGTGAAAGAACATAACACACTCCAGCCCACTTAGGCCTAATGCATTTTGTGTTAGTTAAGCTTCGGCTTAATGCTTAGGGATGAGTGTGTGGGACTAGGTGTGGAGGTAATGGGCTGAGGATGAGTTAAACAATGAATCTACTTTTTCACAGGATCCTTAATTGTTAGTCCAGGCGTACAGTAACAAGCTTATGGGGTTCTACGAGGACACAAGCTGCCACGTATGTCGCAGACAGGTTAATTAAGCTCATATGCATGGACCCAAACATATCCTATGACACAGGTACATGTCTTGCACAGACGAATGGGTAAAAAAGAGCTGCCATAGTCAACAATAGTGCCATCACTGACATTTTCACAGATGTGTTCTTGCTATGCCATCTCATAATTCATGCCTGTATCTAAAGTGCAAGAAATAAGACCTTTCAAACACTTAATTGTGCTCCATATGCTGTGGCCACATCTGTATTTCCCACATGCTCAGGCCAAGTTATGCATTTTCTTTATCTAGTGGGTTTGTGATAATTGGCAAGAGGCATTTGTTCGGATTTGCTAGTGGTAATAGTTAACAGACACTCCTTGTTCTTTTTTTTTTTTCCTTAATGATAGACTCAAACAGAACGACATGTACAGTCCCAGACATACGTAGACCTGATAATAAATTGTTCAGTGTGTGTGTGTATACAGGGATTATTGCTGTTGTGGGGACACTGATCTCTTTATACAGCTACATTGTGCGGACCTGCCTTCCTTTCGGAGACAAAAAAGGCACGTCAACAAAGGCAGACTGTTAAATTTTAGTACGCAGACTTGGTTTATGTTAGGGTAAGGCTCGATTTGGATTAAGGTCAGAGTTAAGGTGAGGCAATAAATGGTTTTGGCTACGGTAAGTGTTAAAGAAATGGGTGTACGTCAGTGTAATGTCCCCCTGAAGTGATTGAAACATGACTGTGTGTGCGTCAATGCTGTTTGTGCACATTCACTTGATGATGTTTAAACGAGTGGCCTCAGCTGTCTCAACAAGTTAAACAATCTTCACAAACACAGTAGACAGAGAGAGGTAAAGACCAAGAGAAAAAAAAAAAAAAGTTGAAGTAGACAGAAAGATAATTCTAGGTTACAAACTTCCTCTGGGATATTTTTCTCAGAGAAGAATGGATTCATCAGTGTAACTCGCTGTTTTTTTTTTTTTTTTTGTCAACATTTTACTTACAAAAAAAAATTTGAGATGTTTGGTGGTCTCGTAAAATCGCAGCCAACCAGAGGGAGTCGGTAATTTTATAATGATAATGACTGAACTCCAAACTCTTCATGAAGGACGCCCTGGGGATACAACTGATAGACGCAAACCACAGAAAAGGCAGGCAGCAGAGGAACTGGGTCGGGGGAGGAGGGGGGAAGCAGATGAGGGTACAGATTGGTACTGCCAAAGCTAAGTAATGAATTCTTACTTCTTCGTCGGGACTGACCTACCTTTTCCTTTTCAGAGCTGCCCATGTAAGGTGATCTCACATCTGACCATGTGTTACTGTCAGTGCCCAGTTTTTCGGGTCCCACAGGATGTTAAAAATTTAAGACTACAGTTGGTTCTTATAATATATTCTCTTTCTCCACCTGTCATATCTTTTTGTGTTAACGTCTAGGTGCAAGCCAAAGTAGATGGACTTCCAACAGTGAGTCCCACGGTAGGTTCTGTGCTATTTAATGCCTCTTGTTTTTTTTGTGCTTGGGCAACTGTAAGTATTGAAATAATTCTATCACAAATTGTAAGGTTACCGATCCAATATTCTGCATTTTTCCAATTATTAGTATCTTTTTTTTTTTTTAAAGTGATTACTGATTTTCAGTTTAGATCCAAAAAAACTGTTATCGGACCCCTTGATTACTGATCATCAACATCAATATCGGCCCTAAAAAGAAACATGACCCAAATACAATGCTAACAGCTCCAGTCGGGTACAACACATCTTTAGAATTATGGTCAATATTCCCTTTTAGTAAATTAGATCTGGTGTTGCTCGAATAATCTGAAACTAATCTGCTGCTAATTAGGAATTCTAAAGAAAAGACTGTTATTGCCGTGTCTATTTCCTGTTCTGGTTAGCGAGTAAAAGTGTGAAATGTTGAAGTTAATGTGACACATTACAGTTTAGATTAAAAGTAGTCTGACAATGATTGTAAAAGATGGCTGATCTTAAAATGCTGATTCTGCAAAATTGTACAGAAAACTGTATGTGCTTTGATACTTCCCACTTTATGTAATATGTGCCTTAGTACTTATTGTGTCCATTCTCACCACAAACACGCACATACCCAAAGACCCAAAACACGGAAGAAGCAGTCAGAATGTGTCCAGACATCACGGATCGTCTGAGGCTTCTCGAGCAGGAAGTTGCTCGCTACAGAGAGGAATCCGGCAAGTCACAAGCTGAAGTGGAGAGACTGATGGGGGCTCTGAGGGATGCCGAGGTGGACAAATCATGCAAGGAGAAAAAAATCACTGATCTCGAGAGGTGAGGGTCCACGATTCCGGTCCACGATCCCAGCTGGTGTCACAAGACACCATCTGGGTGTTCTTAGAGAGCAGTGTCCCTCCGAGTGACCGGATCTTTGTAAGATCTCAATTAATTTCTAAGTGCTCTATTTATAAAGAAGTAATCCATGAGATATAAACTGTCTATATTGTGTACTTCTAGCACTTGAAACCACTTCCACTTTGTCATGCTCTTCCCCTGATGTAGTCACAGTCTAGAAATGTGTACTGTGACCTATATACATGTGTTCCTCTGATCTTTTGGCACAATGTTTTATCATGTGTTTCTGTCTATCAATGTCTGCAGACCCGGGTAAGTAGATATTTAGTGTGCCATACCATCGTGTTGCTACCAACGCTGTCCATACTCATCTGTCTTGACATAATGGAACGTTGGTTGGTTTGATTTGGACCCTTTTCGGGATTTGGCTTAAATCTGAGTTTCGGGAAGCTCAGATTTAACAGAAAATATACAATCCATTTACGACAAACAGTCTCGGTCTTCATTCCTGTCACAGCAATAACACAATGAGAGACTTACTATGGTCCCTAATTAATATCGCCGGACATGTATAGTTTCTCTATTGTGTTGGCTTCTGCCAAGCTCTCTCACATTTCATTACTATCATCAGTGCTGTCACGCGTGTTTTCCGTCACATCAAGTTGTTTATATGTGTTTTTACGTAAGTATCTGTAAACTCAACAGATCAGATGTTTTGTTTCTCTCTTTGGATTACTGTAAATGCATTTAGCGAATGTGTTTGTCTGTATGAGTGTGTGTTTTTTTGAGTTTGCCAGGCAGGCAGCCAGCGGCATGCCAGTGGGAGGTGGTGTATCCAGCCCAGACACTGGCTGTTTATACTACTCTGTTTATTACTGGCACAGTGTTACTCAATTATCATCTGATTTATGGATTGGCATGGTGTGTATATGTACCCAAATGAGTGGTTGTTTAGTGCCAAGGCAGAGGTTCTGTATGAGTGTTAGTGTGCACATTAACTCCATGTGTGTGTGTGAAAAAGAAGCATAGAAAAATAGGTATGTTTTTCTATTTGGTTTGTGTTATTACATTGTTTTGTGTATTTATCCAAACCTGAAGCAGGTGTAGTTAGTTGTGTGTCTGTGTATGGAGACTGATAGTCGATGAGACTCTCCTGGTGGATCGCCAACTGACCAGAAGAAGCATTACTGGAGAAAAACAACCAAACTGTTTTTTAACACACATTGGTCCCATCAGGTGTGTTAACACCAGCTATGGTTCTGAATGGTTAGGAATCAATTTGGATGGGCTGCATGTACTGGATCCAACACAGTTTCCTGCCTCATTCATTACCCATTTTACAGACTCTCCGCTCCTGGCATGAAAACCGCGTGCTGACTCTGTGGGAACGCAGGAGCATCGACTATAATAGAAATACAGTAGCTCCTGCAGAGCTTTTTTCACACAGTCAGCTCTCTGTTTCCATGCGCGCATGCATGCGTTAAGCCTCGACCTCTACGTCTACATGTGTCTGCCGTTCACATGCGGCCGTCGCAAGCCACGCATACACGTGTGTATTAGTCTGTGCATTTGGTTTCTGTGCATGCGGTGCAGCCATTTCTGGGACAGGGCTGTTTGGGATCGTTGGAACAGTTTCTTTTCCCCTCAGCTCATCCGTCTTGTTGGGCCGGCTGTCTCATTAGTGTCAACCAGTCACTCCTATCAGCCCGACCTTTCCTCTTCTGGTCAACATGCACAGGTCGGAGGTCATGTACAAGTCAGCCACAGGTTTTGAGAAGGAGATCCGCTGTATTCATACACTGTTGCTGTAAACGTGAAAAAAACAGAATACAAGAGCAACAAAGACATCAACATGCACTTAGTCCTAGTTTTTGTTTTAGCATGTACGGCTGCTGCAGAGCGTTGTTAGGTTATGTAAGTTATAAGGGGAATTTTTTGATTGAACAAAGACATCAAACAAACTGTAAATAGTTGAACTTTCACATGTGTGTGTGTGTGTGCGCACATGTGTTGTGTGACAGCATGGGTGGATGAGTGTCTGCGCGTTGATTAGACTTCTGTATCAGAGCATGCGAGATGTAGCGTGACTGGGCAGAGGATGAATGTCTTTTTAATCAGAGTGTTTCTGTTGGAGCTCAGTCAGATGGCCTATTAACCACTATCTGAATGGGGAGAGAGAAGAACAGATGAGGAAATAGACACTTTCTCATCCAGTTGGCAACGCAGCAAAGACAGTCGAAGATGGATGCAGCAAGCAGGTCATCGCAATAAATACTCGCAGACTCGCTCACGGCTATTTCATGGTTTAGATTTCCTAGTGATCTATTGTAAGTCAGTGATATCGTCGGGTAGTTTATGGTTGTTTTTGTATTTACTCTAATTAGTGTACAGTAGATGTAAAGCTAATCTGCCTAAATAATTTGTGACCAGGCTTTGTAGAAAGTATTTGTATCAGCTGTTAACACTAAAACTAATACTTGGATTTGTTAAATGGAGCTCTCAAAAACCGTGGTTACAGATCTCTTGGAGCTGTTTGTGTTTGTATGATTGGCTAAAATGGGAAAAAATATGTAGTAACAATCCATTTTTTCTTGATGCATTTTTTTGTCCTGACACTGCAGGAGGTCAGCTGAGTACAACAGCGGTGAATTGAAACATCTAAGGTTTTAATTAACCTTGAGAATTAGGAATAAGTGAAGACATTTTTGAGATACAAATCATGGAAACAGTTGTTTTAAAGTTAAATGTGAATGATGCTTTTGAATGTATTTTTTATTTTTTCTAATATGTTGAATGAATATAAAGTCTTGCTTCTTTTTCCTTTCACTCCTTCCCTCGTGGGTGTATATTAATAACTATTATTTAGTATAGTCTTCTCTTATGCTTTTATAGTCCCATACTTTAAAAGTTTAACCCATCTAGTGTAATGTTGGGGCTAAACTTTGACAAATAAATCAGCCTCCTAGTCTCACCATACCACAGCTACTGAAGAGGTAAGCACTCTGGTATGTCAGGGAGGGTTTCAGGAAAAGGGAGGTGTGTGTGCGTGAGTACATACGTATGTATGTATGTATGTGTGTGTGTGTGCCCAAGGTGAGACTGAGTGGTATACATGTTGGTGAGGGACTTGGAAATGGCCTCTTGGGCGGATTGAATCGTTGGTTGCTCGCTGGCAATCATTCATATCCTCGCAAACATCCATTTGCATACGCATAAACACGCACATATAATTTTTGGCCTTATTCCTGTGGCCATAATCAAACTCCAGATGTTGCGAGCACACGGAGCACACACCCTTCGAACAGACATGCCAAAACACACATAACCTCCAACATCTCTGTATATAATATTTTTTTTTTTGCATGAACATGTTTGTAAATAGCATGCTGTTCAGTTGCAGGTGCAATTTGGACTGCAATTTTAAAAAATGACCTGCCAAATTCGCTTTTTAAATCTAATCAAATTGCACCTGCGACAGAGAAAGCTTGTTTAACTGCACAAATACATGCAGTAAATGCCATTACACTTTCCCACATTTAGGCATGTAGACATACAGGCAGGCCTCCTGTCTGTTTCACCCTGTCACACACACATAGACAGTATATAAAGGCAACAGTGAAATGGTATTTGTACTGCGATAAGACATGTCTCAGCACTATAAAGTATCTATCACTAATAAACAGAGTCGTTCTGGTTGAATCTCTCACCACGGCATCAAGACAAGCGCCTTAGATAAAAGTTTCAGACTCCCAGTGTTGACCCAACTCACACTACATGTCGCCCCTTTTTCTTCTCTCTCCTCTCTCCCATTTTTTCACCAGAGAGAACATGTATTTAGTTCAGATCATATCTGCCTTTTATTCAATATATTGTACAACCCTGAGTGGTAACTACCCCTGTGTGTCCCAGTCTGCTTGAAATCAGAGGATTTCGTTCCACTCTGTTGTTTATTAAAAGGGACAAGGAAGAGGCAGAGTAAGAATTAAGAGTTATGAAGGGCAAGATACAAATCTGGATTCGGTTTTTTTCCCTCCCCTTAAAGGTTATTGCTTCTTTTGACCTTTATTTCCAGAGAAGCTCAGAATGCATGCTCTCTTTCTGCCTTACTTAATATTCACAGTTTCCCACATTCAGATTTGCTAGCGACTCAGTGTGACCACATCTTCCTGCTGCTGACCGCTGCAGCAGCTTTACTGAAGCCATTCATATAGTTTTTGTGCTTTGCTCAAAGGCATGCCAGCCCGAGTCAGCAGGGAAAGTTAGGCCATCATTCATTAGTTTAGTTTTTTTTGTGAATGGATGGGAGTTGTAATCGGAAAAAAAGAGGAAAGGAAATCAGGGATAAAGGAAAAAGAGATTAAGAGATACAAAACAGATATGTATATATTGTTTATATATAAATATATGTACACACACACACACACACACACACACACACACACACACATATATACACAAGAAAGAAAGAAAAAATAAAACAGAATTGGACTTTGACAGCCAGAAATAAAGCGGAGCTGCTTATGTTGGAAGGCGGATGTGTGGTGGGCTCCAGGTGGAAGAAGCAGAAGGAAATGTGAAAAATTACTTATTACGCTCAGTTTAGGAAATGGCTGGACTCATGCACACTGCTCTCTCTCTCTCACTTCATCTTTCTAAGAAATGTCACTGCAGTAAAAATACTATTTCCCCCCCAAGAATTTACTCATTTCAGTAATCAACAAATCACATTGCTCCCTCATATTTTCCGCTCAAACGCAGCCCAGCCCGTCTGCTCCTGTTTTTTTTTTTTTTGTACTCTACGTGCCCTCATTTGCCTTCGCGCTGGTCAAAACACTTTCTTCATTTTGCACTGATGGGTCGATGGGGGCGTATCAACTATCAAGTGGGACCAGCGTGTCCGTCGGTTTGTACACCTGTGCCAGTAGCGGCTGTGTGTGTGATAGCTGATATGCCCTCATGGCAAGTTTGTTCTCCATGGACATGCCTCTGAGCTTATAAAAACACACACAGAGACATCAAAGATCTGGGTATGGACAGGTTCTCGTCGGCCTCCTCCCCACTGCTGTGTAGATATGTGCGCGCGAACACACGTTTGTGCGAATATTTATGCCGCACTTTTCAAAATCCACTCATAAAAATGATAAAAACTCATAAAATCAACAGCAGAGTGATTAAAAAAATGAAATAAAGATACAAGCCAGAGACATGAAATGGCAGACCAATAAACTGAATGTGTGGTTTTCTGAAGAGGGAGTAAAAGCAGATGTAAATATTGATAGAAACGTTGGTTACTCCCCTTCTGCTTTATCTGCTCTTATTATAACCAAAAAAAAAAGGTTCTAAAAAGTGCTATTGTGTGTGTGGGCAAGGTGAGAAATGTAATAAACGTATTCGTCGTCATGTTAGATGTATTTCATATTAATTGCGCACCGACATCACTCATAAAAACTAACGCACACACACATCATTCTAAGCGCTGTGACAGCAAATATTTGCCCACATGTGGGGGCAGCTTGTAGGTTTTGCCCAGAGTAAACACACCAGTGTGGATATGGAATAATAATGTGGCACATTTTAGCAGCTGCTTGGTCGCAGCTTGTTTACAGTGTTGGAGGGTTCTCTTAAGCACTAATTTGTCAATGTCAGTTTTCTCACACTTTCTATGTGTATTACTTAAAAAAAAAAAAAAAAGTGTGAAGGCTGAACTGAGAGCTCAGAGATGTGTGTTTTTGAATCTATTTTCAGGGTGTTTGTGAGAAAGTAGTCGTATGATGCAGGGGTTTAGTGGGTTAATGATGGTTCGTGTGTGTTTATTTGTATTTTAATATGCAATAGTGTGTGTTTGTGTGTGTGCGCGCCACACATCTGGATTAGTGAGTTCAGTAAATGACAAGGAGCAGGTCTTAGCGGGGAAGTGAATCCACAGCCATCCTCGCTGGTTAATACACAGCTCAGCTCTGTAATCAGTAACTCAGCAATGCACAATGCTGACGGCTGATTTATTATCCGTGTGTGTGTTATTGTCGGTGTTTATAGACTTGTGCCAATTCAGTTTTTTTTTATTTTTTAAAAACAACAAAAAACACACACATGCCCTTCTGTGTGTGTTGGTGTAATCATATCTTCTTCGCTCAAGGCTTGCGCGTATCTATTTTTTTTTGTGTGCATGCATTTGATTGCATCTCCTGTCTGCATATGTTTTGTGTTTTGTTGTTGAAAGATTTACACAGCAGTGTCTCACCTACATCAGTCATGTCTTGTCTTGTCTCAGTCTGCCATGTTACACAGACTAGACACCGCTTTTGTCCTTAACTGGTTTACTGTAGCTCTGTCATTTAGCTGTGTGATGCTGCATGCATCCTGGTTTTAACTCTAAAACAAACTGCAGGACAATGAAACAAATATATATGTTTGTTTTAATTGTGCATTTTGTGTATGCTACATCTGATAGTTAGCGCACAACCACAAAAACACAAGCAGCATTTGTAAATAAATGTGTATTGTGTTTAATTTGCATGCATGCATTTTTATATGCAGCATATACGAATGCATATAAAAATAAGGGATTTTCTTTTTTGACATATTTAGACAGCTTTCAATCCTCTTTGATACAGATAAAGGCGATAAACGCAACAAACAAGGAAAATTTGTTCAGCAAAAATATCAATAGATGTAATATCCTTCTGCCTTTTTAGCAGAAATATCGTCATAATCATCCACAAGTCTCTGACATTGATCAACTAAAACAATTTCACCACTCTTCCACACAAAATTCCTTCTCTTGCAAGATTTCTGAGGGTTTGCTCGCATGTACGGCTAGTTTCAAATCCCCCACAACATTTCAGTGGGATTCAAATCGGAGCTTTGACGAGGCCATTCCATGACCCTCCGTTTCTTCTTTGTGAGCCATTCCTTGGTGGATTTGCTAGCGTGCTTAGGATCATTATCCCGTTGAAAGGTCCACTTCTGGTTCAACCTCACATTATCTTCAAGCGCTCTTTCATATGATGCAGAATTCATAGTTGAATCAATGACTGCAAGCTGCCCAGTCCCCGAGGCAGCAAAACAACCACAAACCATAACATTTCCATCACCATGCTTCGCAGTTGGTATGAGGTTCTCCTGAAAAGCTGTCTTTGGTCTACACCAAACATGTCTACTCTTACTGTGGCCAGACGACTCTATCTTTGATTCATCTGTCCAGAGCACATTATTCAAAAAGGCCCGGTCTTTGCCTATATGTTCATTGGCAAACTGTAGTTTTGCTCTAATGTTCTTTTTGGACAGCAATGAATTTTTCCTGGGACGCCTCCCGTGCAGGTCAAATTTGTGGAATCTCTTTGTGATCGTAGATGGATGTAGTTTGAAACCGACAGTTGCAAGAGTTACCTGCAGATCCTGTGATGAAATATTGAAGTCTTTGGAGTCTTCTCTTCACATCAAGCTGTTAACTGTTTCACTTTGGCCAGTCGAAATTGGAAATCTCTCCACAGATGTTTTTCTGACAGCCTTAAAGAGCTCTATAAATCTTGGATTGATGGCACCAAACACTTCCATAGCAAAGAGAACACTAAACCCTAGACAACAGAAGTTTAAATAGGAAAAGTTCCACCTGTTGCTGCATAAGGAGATTCTAATTATTGGCACCTCATCAGGATTAGAAGGATGCATGGCAAAGGACTGTATCCACTTGGCAATGTGTTTTTGTATTCATTTAAATCCCAACAATGTTATTTTTGTGTCACTTGTTTGATAATATCACCATAATTAATAGAGACTGTTTCAAAGGGGATTAAATGTCTACATGTCAAAATATGTCAGAAAGTCGAAGCCTTTTCACACGACTACTCACCGCTGTCATATTGTGTGCAATACAACTAGAGTCTTGTTATGTATTCCATGATTTTCACACAGTTAGTTTTGCATTTCTTTATTGAGTCTCTTTTTATCTGTTGTCATCCATTTTTCTCTGTCTGAAGGCAAATCAAGTCTCCTAACATTCAGAAGCAGATGGTGCTGGGTGAGATGAGGAAAGATGCCTTGACTGATGGACATCCGCACTCTTTATCGCAGGTTTGAATATAAATGTGTGTGTGTGTGTGTGTGTGTGCACGTGTACACTTCCTGGTCTTCATCACCATTTCAGTTCAAACTAATTCATACTCATTTTATCTGCCCACTTTTCTCTTTTTTTTTCTTCCCCTTCTCATCTCTTGTGCAAGCAGTTCCTCAGAACAATTCCTCTTCTCCTTTTTCTTTCTGTCTCGACACATCGCTGTCTTGATACTCCTTCGTTTTGGAGTCTTTCATGCCGCTTGTCCTCTCACAGTCAGAAGCAGAAATCAGCTCCATACACTAGATAGAAGTGAAATAGTAAAGAGCTGAGTCTTGTCAGGCATTTTTGATATAATCTGTGCATTTGTGTACCTACAAGGTGTCATCCTAAGCGTCAGCTGATTGCTTGGTTTTCTATGTGTACATATCTGTGTGCATGCTTGTACACTAGCCAGCAGGGCCATGCTGAGGTGTTAATATGCAGAGTGCAGCGATGCCAGGTTATTCCCACGGCACAGATGAAGTCGAGTACACCTCTCTATAATTCTCTGCCAAACAAAGCAAGAGTCTCGCTGGGTTTGTTTTTGGTTGCACTATTTTGCTATTTCTGTGGATGTGGGCAGGAAGCATTAAACATCCTATTTCTGCATCTAAACTGAGTCTGAGAAGCACGCATTAATGTTGCTGTAACCTAAAAAGAGCGATGAAGCGGCTGCCAGCTACAGGTGCAAGGGAGTCGTGTCACGGAGAGAGATGATGTCTGCACAGAGAGCCAACATGAACAATTTCACAAATCACGAAATGTATTTTTATCGGTATGTTTTCTGTATATTGTGTGATTTTGATTTGTGATGGCCCTCCGTTCTGGTTTCCTGTGCTGCTCTGTCTTGTTTCCTTTGGCAAGACCCTCGATTGGTTGTCAGAGAAACTGGCTGCACCTGAGAGGTGAGGCATAAAAGGCCTGCCCTCCCCGTCTGTTTCCTTTCTTGCTGTGCAGTTGCAATCCTCTGGTCTCCTCGACCTTGTAGTTTCGTTTGTGTTGACATCTTACACATCACTCCCACACTTACTTGAACTCATCTGCAGATTCTTTATCACTCTCACTCCTTCCACATCATAAACGATCTGATAACTCCTTTTAGCCGTGTCTGCAGCATGGCTCCATGGCAACATTGGTCAGTCGAGATATCTTTAAAAAATCTGTTGAATGGACTGCCGTGAAATTTAGAATACACATCCATGATGCTCAGTGGATCAATTGTTAGCCTGACTTTTCTGCTGTCATGAGGTGGTTTGGAGTAAAATGTCTTAAAACCCACTGGATGAGCCGTCATGGAACAAACACATTTATGCCTCCTTCGAGGTCATTCTTATCATGTTGATAACTTTCCTCAACTAAGATCAGGTCAACATTTTAATTTACTCAACACTTTGGACTCAAAACCTCCAAAACATTCTCAGCCTGAGCTGTACTTTTTGTTCTGTGCTAATTATCCAATGTTATTAAGTTAACATGCTGAGCTAACAGGGTGAACATGAAAACATCTATCAACAAGATAGCATTGCCATGTGAAACATCTTGGTGTTAGCTTTCAGCTCATTTATTCATAAAACAATAGACTCTAGTTTAAAACATAAACCAATAACATAAACTTTAAAATGACCTTAAAAATATCTAATGTTATTTCTGTTCAGGCGGTTATCATCTACACAGATTACTTTTTTTTTTAAGTAGCTACTTAACAAATGATGCAGAATCATTCATTAATCTGCATGGATTCTCTCAGTCTCCATTGTCTTTAATAATTACATTATTTCTGCATGAAGGAAACAGACTACACATTAAAAACGTCATATCAACTACTCTACACAGATAATTCAGTTAACCATACTTTGCCACTATCCATCAAAAAATCAGCAATACAGCTAAAATCATAACTGACTGTAACTTTTTCTCTCAGAATGAAAAAATCCAGTCAGCGTATTTCACTGAGACATTATAATCCGTACCACTAGACCGTCTGACATCAAAGGTCACAATGACCCTTACAAGTTATTACGAAAGCCACTTATCCAGTGATTCAGTAGTTTCCTACGTACAGTTTATTAAGTTCCACTGCACACATACAGCTGAAAATGTTGTTCTTCTCTTGGCCACTAAAGCACAACCCAGTAATCCTACATGAGATAATACAAATAACACAAATGTCACTTAGAAGTATTCCTATATCTAATTACTGTAATTGCTTAAATAATAATTAAATACTGTACACATAATACACAGACATTTGATGTAATACATATTAAGAATTGTATGATCAAATATGGTAGCAATATCTTGAAAAATATCAACAGCTAACACTAGCTAAGCATGAACATTTCAAAACAAGACTATATAAGACCATATACTCCAGCCAGCCGTCCATGGAGATGTCATGAACACAATATACTCTCTGTATATTGTGTCTGCTCAGCAGTGAGGTTGAGTTGTGGCCTCCGCCTCCCTCTCTTTCCTCCTGCTCTCTCTATCTCCACTTATCTCTGGGTCCATCAGGAACACAGCACGCTCCAAGGGTAAACACAACCAAACAAACTCTCCCCATCATTCCAGGAGAGTTTATGTGTGATGGAGCGATAGCATCTCTTCGCTCCATTGTCTCCATTGCACCACGCTGCACTTCACAAACACAGAGAAAACACACATCGGAAGTCTTCACTTCAAGCGTTCGCACAGGCCTTTTATTTCCCTTTTATCTGTAACCGAGAGGCATCAGCAACCCTCCCCTCTGTTTAGCGACGCTGGGATTAACGAAACTTTTTTTTCCCCCCTTAAATCTGGTGACATTTGAAGAAGATAGACATATTTTTTGGATTTTCTTCCAGTCTAAGCCAAAGTCTCTACACTGAAATTGCAACTGTATATGAAACTTCTGGCCCGGGACACATACTTAACATATTTTGAATCATGAAATCAGACACATAAATGTTGACGCTGCACACACCGCGGTTGACAGAGACGTATGTCTGCACGTGTATGTAACCGTCTATGTATTTAAAGCTGTTGATGAGACACAGCTGCTAGAAATGTGCATTCCCTCACTCTCTGCTCATTTAAAAAAAAAATTAAAAAAATTTGATTATAATCCCTCTATCAAACCAGAAAGAGCAAGGGCTGTAATGATCCTTCCCAGGGGCATTAGGTGATGATTGGTGCTGCAGAAGTAATTATCTTTCCATTTTTCCCTGCTCTTTGTGTTTCCATATCTCTCTTGCCCTTTTCCCCATTTTTTTTTCTTTTGTATTCTTAAAAGCCAGCAATATTCTCTTGTTACTAATAAAGCTCACATTACACACACATCGCACATACACACATATATACAGACACATGTACTGTCCATGTGTGCACGCACACACGCACACACGCACACAAGCACACACACACACCACATAGGCAGACCCAGCTTTTCTGGTTGGGTTACACTCAGGGGTCCAGCGGTGGCAGCCCCATCTCAGTGGGGTGTGTGTGTATGTGTGTGTGTGTGTGTGTATCCATGTGTGTGTGCGAAGGTGACTGTGTGCATGTGCGTGTTTCTGTCTGTTGGGTGGGGTCAGACCGGTACTTGTTGATTCTGGTGCATCGAATTACTGCCCGTCTGTCACATCCAATTACAGTTTTGGAGTGCTGACGCACACAGCCTGCCTCTGTGTGTGTGTGTGTGTGTGTGTGTGTGTGCGGGTGTTTGTCGCTCACCTCCAGCTGTGCCGTGCTGACGTGACGAGCCACAAGTATCCGCTTGTGATTTGGCTGGCTTGGCAATATTTTCATCATAGTTGAGGATTATCCCATTGCTGCAGTTTTAGTCTGTATCACTGAGTCACTCATTAAATAAGCCTGATTTCTAAATGTGGTGCAACCTCATACTCACTGTCTCTTCGTCAATATTTACTGCACAATTAATGAACAATTTATACTCATTTTGCACGGTCCTGGTGCTGTGTCGTCAAATGATTTTCACTGTGGATTCAATCACGATGACACTGTTAATCCTTTAGTTGTCCATTTAGAATGCTGTCTGTTACAGGATAGCAGCTTTAGACACGTGCATACCTGCCATTGTTTCCAAGCATTTAGATTCACTAAGTGACTTTTACAAACATAAAGCAGCCATTTCTGAGATCATATGTCAGTTTAAGAGCACTAAGTCCATTCAATGGTCATCCATCTCAATGAAGTTCTCAGTTTGATCCGTTGCCTCCCTTTTTCCAAGTCTCTTGCTCATTCTCCTTGTTTCCAACAATGTTATTTCTGACACACTGTCTTGCTGTATGTTGCTGGTGCTTCTTCGTATTCATTTGCTAGAATCTCGTTTTAGCAGCTTTTTCCTACTTTCAGTGCCGCCTTTGTTATGAACCGTCTAATGTTGCTGCTTCTTTTCCCGGAACGTTGCGCAAAGTGTTTATTTGAAAGCATGTTGGTTGATAGTTCCTATCGGTATGTGACTTTATTCTTATCTGTTTTGTTCCGATTCGGATCAGATTGGTGAATCCGTGGCTTGCATCATCAAAACACTGTTTCGCAACGACCAAACTCTCACTTGAAAGCGTTTCCTCGTCCACGTGACTGCAAAGCTTCTGCTCCCAGAGAAGTGTGAACGTGTGAACTTGAAAGCGAGTCAACGCTTTCGAAGTCGGGGAGAAAGTAAAAAAAAAAAAAAAGAAAAGAAAAAAAACAGAGAGAGGGAGAATCCAGGGGTTTATTATTTCTGTCCAGTGTTTTCTTTCACAGTTCCATCAACCAGTGTGGAGACGGATCATTTTCTCCCGCTCACCATAGGTGTCAGAGAGGCCACACACAAACTGTGCATGTAAACGTGCACAGTCGACTCCGCGCGCCCACAAGTTCGCGTATGGATGACAGCAAAGGTCATGGCACTTTCAGACTCTCTTTTCATCACTTATTGCTCTCTTCCGTCTTGGCTGTGTCTATCTCTTCTTCGAGGAATCTTGTTTCTTCTCTCGCCGCAGCTTTTGTCTCGCTTAGTTCTCTTCTTTGTTCCTATTTTGCATAGACTGAACGGGACCGACAGTTACACATTTTCTCAAGCTGTCTGTTGCAGATACCAATGCAAAAACATTCAGTGATGCATTTTTAGAATAAACTCTAATCAAAGAACAATACTTCTCTCCCTGACTTGTGCTGCTTTGCTTCCGACCCGACCCTCCTTTTAACTCTTCTCACCAACCCAGCCTCCTCTGTTAGCTTCCCAGGATGCCATGCGGGAGACGGCAGAGCGGATCATGGAGTTGGAGAGGGCGCTGAGGGAAAGCATGAATACCTCCGCGCATAGGGAGGCTCTCTGGGCGCAGGAGGAGGCAGCCCGTGTTCAGGCCCAGAGAGAGGTTTACCTGATGCTGCACACACTTATGAAGGACTCCAGACCTGCATATACATAAACACACACTCAAACACTCATACGGCCTCATCTCCAGACAGCCTGACCAACCTTCTGAACTGATCAGCTCATCGAGGCCAAGGAAGGACCACTGAGAAAATGTGCTGAACTTAACTGCACCCCCATGTGGCTGAGAATGTAACTGCAGGCGGGCCGTTCTTAATGAGTGATCCTTCGCCGCCCATTTAGGTTGTTCCAAGCCAACAAATCTCATTTTTACAAAATGGCTACTTGCCTCTTCTCTGTTGCTGCCTTTTCATCTTAATTTAGTTTTTATTCTCTAAACATGCGCTTGTTTATTTTCTCCTCGTAGACTGAAATTCAAAACTGAATCAAGAATTTCCAATGCGGCCTCTTTTCATTTTTCTCTCGTTAAGTTTGCTGTTGGATGCTTGAAAACGTAAGCATATGTTTGACATGTTGTGAGTTTATGTGCCTATAATCAGAGTTTACTAACAAGATTGTAGACGTTGAGCTTGCAGACTTGACGCAGCACAGGCTGCCTTTTTAGTCTGTCTGTCTATCTGTCTGTCTGACTGCCAGCTGGTCAGTCTGCATCTTTAAGTGGGTTCAAAAAAAAAAAATCTATGTGTGTGCTTTTGTATCTTTGTGTGAGCGTAGGTGTGTCTGCGGTGGGAAAGAGAAACAGGGCGAGGGAGTGCGTTTCCTCCTGGTGTGAGGGTGCATTTGAATGAGAATGACCTCGCATTACTTATGAGTGCCACAAGTAATATGAGAGCAATCGGCGGTTAAAACAAGAACTAACATTTTGGGGGCAGAATGGCGGCTGTATTGCTTCAAACGCATGTACGCTCCCTAGCAGACCTTAAAAGACGAAGAGGGGAGATTGGCGGATGGAGCGGCAAAGTACGAGAAGGTCAAACTCAGTTTAGAAAATCCAGTTAGAGCCAATGCTAACTGTGGCTTGTTTTTTTCCTTCTTTTCGCAATATCTGTACTTTGCATGCTTGACTTACGTTCAGCATGGATACTGTGTTTATCAAACAATATTATGATCCACTGAGAAGTCAGAAAGAAAAATATATATTTATGTCTGCGGGACTTTTCTCACGCATGCAAGTGGATGATTCAGCTTTGACCTAAGTTTACCCATGTGTAGAAGAATCAGGGAAATCCTCTCCTAACTTGTGACAAATTAACACTCATTGACCCCAAAAGCCATAGTCAGCTTGGTTTTATTTTAAGTCAATCCAGACCCTATGCATGAAGAACCTCCTGAGCCAGCATGCAGTCATACTTGAACTTGACACAAACTGAACTAGAATAGAGTTACAGCCACACTGTTGACACAAGGAAAGGTACCCATTTCGCCAGTATGCTCACTCTGTGATGCTCTCCGGTCCCAGTCAACACAGTGACCTTTGTGAGCCAACATGAGGCGGCAGTGAGTCAGCGTGCCATCACCGTGCAGTTAGACAGTTGTCCGTCAAGTGTTCTTGCCTCAGGTTCTGGAGAAGTGTATATGGAGGGAATAGAGAGAGGGGGACAGGTCCTTCTGAAACATCACCTGACCCTGGCACCATTTCAGAGCGCCTTGCCAAACTCACATTCTCACATCCCCCCCCCCACCCCGCCTTCCTTCACTCTTTGCTTGATTTTCTTCTTTCTTCTCCCCTCTGTCCCAGAGTAATCAGTCTCATGATGTGTAATGCGCTGAAAGTCTTCCATCAGCCTGACCTGCTGAAACATCACCTGACCCTGGCACCATTTCAGAGCGCCTTGCCAAACTCACATTCTCACATCCCCCACCCCACCCCGCCTTCCTTCACTCTTTGCTTGATTTTCTTCTTTCTTCTCCCCTCTGTCCCAGAGTAATCAGTCTCATGATGTGTAATGCGCTGAAAGTCTTCCATCAGCCTGACCTGCTGAAATGGAGCATGGGTAATGCCCTGGGTCACTTCTCTTCACACCCCCGTTTTCTAATTCTCTCACTCCGTCTCTGCCTCTCTCTGTCTCACGTCTTTCTCCTAAAATCATTTCTGCTGTCCGTCCGTTGTCCCGATTCTCTCCCATCTGCCTTCTTAAGTTGTCTCACGCAATTACCTGCCCGCTCTCTCTCCTTTTCTGTTCCTGTCTCTCTCCTCCTCTGTGGCGTTTGAACTAGGCCTTTGAACCAGCAACACGACGCAAATGGACAAGAGGGATTTGGCCCTTACCTCTGAGCCCTCAATCAGCTTATCAACTAAAGGGGCTTTGGGCCAGTCTTAGCGAGCCTTAGCCTGGCTGGGGGGCTTTGCCTTGAAGTTGAGCTAAATTAGCACGCACAGGCTCACCGCTAAGCTGATTAGGTCCCTAATTTCACTAAAATGCATTGTATTCCTTATTAATGATGTGATTGTGAAGTTAGGGCTCGCCTGGGTGGTGGACTAATGAGGGGCCGGGAGGGGGGAAGTTGGTGTGTGAGGATTGATAGACATGTGGTGGGTGTAAATGGAGTTGTGTGTGTGTGACCCTTGGCTTTCAAGATGAAAAGATTGGCTCTGTATGCATTGAAGCCTGGAATAAGACATCAAACGTTGAAATGGTGAGATTTTGGACAGTTGGATGTCTTGTTGATATGGGGTCTGTTAACTGCTGGAAACTACTGAGGTCAGTTGCTTTTGGCAGGAATACGGGGTGTTTTTTATTGAAAACAATGCTTTGTTACATTTCCAGAAAGTTACGACCAAAAGTTGTCACTTTCCTCCCGCTGGGAATATCTGTATTCCCCTCTCGCTCCGCTTTCACCCTTTCTTCTCCTCGTCCATATGTGATATTCATGAACAGTCAGTGAGCACATTATCTGACATCTGTGAAACACACCTAGAAAACTGGAGGAGATGGAGAGTGTCCTGAAAATGTGTGAACGATTTGGCCCCTTCATAAAAGAGGCCCATTGCTTTTTTCATGTCCTACCCCATGGAGTGCTTCCCCCTAACACTCTCTTTCTCATTTTCTTTTGCTTCTCCTTCTCCTTTTTCCCCCTTTGTTCATTTTAGAATTGATTGTTTTACGACCTCATACCACAAATCTGCAAATCATCAGAGCGGAACAAAGATAAATTCATATTCTTGTGGTTTTCCATTTACATCATCTGAACAAGCCTCTCTGGTGCTGCATCCTATTGTGAAGTACTTGTTGTTAGACAATTACACACTTCCTGTCTCAGGATAATGATGCCCTGAGGTCACATCCTGCCTATCAGACACGCAGGTTGGACACACAGGCTTGCATGGCTGCAGGGCATGTGTGTGCAGAGGGAGGAGATGTAGTTGAGAGCTTGAGCATTATCCTCACCTGCTCCAAAGTAGAACCACACTTGAGAGTGAGACAAAATAAGTGGCGGAAAGTGGGAAAGGAGAGGGAACCCATGTTTCCAGCAAAAGGGTCAGAGGCCTTATCATTCAACTAACCTATGAACCCAAGTCATTTTCCCTGCTCCTAGATGTCAACTGGCCATTCATTTTCATGTTTAGGCTGTCATTCCATCTCATTTCTTAGCATTCCACATTAAAATATACACGGCACACACACAAGCATGCAGACAAAGTGCATGCATAAAGTGAGATTAGTTCTTGTGTTCTGAATTTTACACAACCTAAATCATTTCATGAACACTTCATGTATTTAAAAGAAGAACAAAGAGTGTGTCCTGGTATGTTTTCACACTGTTTAAAACCTGCTCGTCTGTGTCTCCCCTTCATCAGTTGGAGGAGCTGATGGGGGCTTTGGAGAAGACGCGTCAGGAGCTGGACGCCACTAAGCTGCGTCTGTCCTCCACGCAGCAGTCCCTGCACGAGAGAGACGGACACCTGAACAGTATGCGCCAGGAGAGACGCAAACAGCTGGAGGAGATTCTGGAGATGAAGTTAGTGTCATTTATCTATCTTTCTTCACATACTGTTGGTCACATTCACTTTATTAGCTACATAGCTTAACAAATTCATAAGACCACCACCCCATGTAAGGTTTATGCTGCAGCTGCTCTAAATTAACAGCATTGGTAATTACCAAAATCATTTTAATGTTTCACCATTCGCCAAGAAGGTCGCGTCCCGGTGGGGGCACCGGAATCTTTCTGCGTGGAGTTTGCATGTTCTCCCCGTGCAGCGTGGGTTCTCTCCGGGTTCTCCGGCTTCCTCCCACACAGTCCAAAAACATGTTGAGGTTAATTGGTGATTCTAAATTGTCCGTAGGTGTGAATGTGAGTGTGCTTGGTTGTCTGTCTCTAAGTGTGGCCCTGTGATGGACTGGTGACATGTCCAGGGTGTCCCCTGCCTTCACCCTAAGTCGGCTGGGATAGACTCCAGCCCCCCCGCGACCCTCGTGAGGATTAAGCTGTGTATAGATAATGGATGGATGGATGTAATGGTCGATACACCAGTATGTAGAAGCTCTTAAATCGAAATGATATTTTTAATGCTGTTTTACAAAAAAACTGAAAAAATTGTAAAGCGCATTACTTTTTTCTTGATTCAGATGTCAGATTATAGTTATTTACTCGCATTCCTGAATCGTAAAATTAGTTTTAGTTTTCGTCATAGTCAAAAGCGATGCTATACTGGACTACATTATATTGATTTGGCTGCTTAGTTTTGGTTCCATCCCAGTTGCACATGTCAGTGCTAAATACATGAATGCGAAAAAATAAACAAACAACCGTCGTAGTCCATTACTTTAGACTGTACAGGTGTTTCTAGTCAAGCTGGATTTACTTATTTTCCCCTCCTTCAGTTCAAATGCTCTTCTGTACATTGTTACGGCCCTGCGTTTCTCTGCTCTTCTGCTTCAATACTGAAGCAATGTGAATGATGTGTGACACCATGCCAGAGCAGTTGGTAACAACAGTAAGCTGTAAGGTGAGAAAAAAATAAACCACACCAAGTGTTTGTGAGAGTGACTGACAGCCCATAAAAGTTTTTTTTTATCAAGTATTTTTTATCAGCATTGGCATGATTCACCGATAGCTTTTATCAAAAACAGTTTTTACCGTCCCGCACAGCAGCTTTGTTGCCGCAGCACAGAAATCTGTCTCTAATATTGTATTAGGCACTTTTATCCTCTCACCTGTTCACATGTGCATCCGCGTATGAGTGTTATATAGACATCAGCGCTGAGGTGTGTTCTGAAGCAGGATCAGCCGTTGTCTATAGCTGCCTTGTGAAAAGTTACATTTATTGAGGACAGGTGGTGCGGCCTTAGACGGCAGGTCAGGAAAAAAAAAAGTGTGTCCAGCTCTTTTTTTTTTCATGCGCCTGTGTGACTGAGAGGGAGCGAGAGAGGGAGGAAGCTGAGAAAAAGCCGCGCGGGATTGTCCGCGTTTCCATGTGTGAGTGTGTGTCGGCGGGTACGTATGAATGTGTGAGCGAGTTCAGTGATCTGTCAGTGGATCGGCTACATGTGTGTTTGCTTTGAGCGCTCTGATTGAAGGAGCATGGAGCCACATATCTGGTTGTCATGTGCCGCAGAGAAATGCCTTTAATGTCAGCCACTCAATACAGTACAAAAGGGAAGGCTGGCACATATGTATTGAAAACACAGCTTTTAAAATCCATTACGCCTCGAGCCCCTCTGATCACACTAACTCTAAAAGAATGTGCATATACGTCTGTCTCTGCCTACAGCATGTGTATGGTTTGCTGGGGGACTGACAAAAGAGTGCCCTTTGCTTGTCTATCTACACACACACACACACATTTCTGATACAAACCATCTTCCTGTGTGTTCCAATTTCCGCCATCCAAGCATTACCAGGAATGTTTATCAGAGGAAATGTATTACATATGATACAGACACAATCCACGCTATAGGTATGTCTGTGAAACTGCAACGTAGCATGTGAAGGATATTTTTGTACTTTGCTGGCACTGGGCTCACATTAGTATTAAATTTCCATTAGAAAGATGTCTGAGGTGGAAGGTTAGTGTGATGGTTGGTTGACATAAACAGCAACAAAGTAGATGAGATTCTTTGCCTTTGTGTTCAGGACTTTGACTAGTCTACACTGGTAAGAGCTAATGGAGGGGGGACCCGGGGGTATGAGTGTGTGTGTGGTCTGTTGTGCAGTGGATTGTGTGTGTGTGTGTGTCTGTGTGTATGAAGAGGTTGGAGGCAGGGGTTTGGGGTCACTGATGATGAGGATTAAAGGACTGTTGAATTGCAAGGGGCAAAGCTTCGTGAGACTGACATACATCTGAACAAGCCACAAAGATACGCATGCAGAATGTACACACAACCTCAGTGGAACTCACATATAATCATTCACGTCTTGCAGACGCGCACATACTTACACAAATTGTGGCTTTTGTGCTTTAAAGGAGGCCATATTCCCACAGCACAGCTCTGGTCCAAGTTAGCACAGGGAAAACTAAACAGGAAAGATAGGGCAGGGAAAGAGAGGTAACAAGAGAGAGAGAAGGAGTTCGAGTGAATGCAGAGAGGGAGGGAGGGGAGATGGAATGGACGGGCTACACAAACTAAAGTATTTCAAATCTTAGAAATCATGAGAGAAGTTTGATTGCATGCCAAGTTTCTCCTTCTCTCCGCTGTAATGTGGCATTTGTCAAGAAGACCAGCTGAAGCAAACCATGTGAGGCACGTTCCCCAGTGAATTGGGGAGCTTTCTGTGACTTTTTTTTTTTTAATGTGTGTGTATAAGCCAGAGAGAGAACTCTTGGCTTTTCAACACTGTTAATGAAAGAGACAAGACGGGAAAAATCATTTCCAATATCCTCTCATTTCATGCTGGGTTTCCTAGCTCTTAATGCATGTGTGTGTATGTGAGAGAGAGCATTTTCATATTTGCCTTTTACAGATATAGACCTGAATGCTTGATGTATAAGGAGCAGTGCGGGTCTCTTCTATCACCCCACACCAGATTGAGTTTCCACCATACTGTACAGTATCCACGCACACACACACACACACACACACACGGCCTCCAGAGGAGCTAGTCATTAAACGAGTCTCGGGTCACGGGGTGTAGGTGCACAATAGAGAAATTATGTGTTTGGACATTTTGAATAGCTCGCCATTGAGATGTTTCCATAGTCTGAACAGGATAATACTACATGCCACAACATTGCAGTGTCTTACTGAACCTGATCCTCCTGTAGACATTGAGAATGTAGGTGATATTATCTGTGTTTACATTTTAGTGATGGAAAATGATGATAGAGCAAAGGCAAGGTAGCGGCGGCCGCTTCAGGGCAGGAAAAGAGATGCAGAGTTGACAAAGTGGAAGTTTTCAGAGGTAGGGAAAGGGTGAGTTAAAAAAATTGAGGGATCAAAGGGAAATATTGCAGACATTAGAAAAAATTACTTCGCAAGACAGTAGGCAAGACAAAAAGAGAATTTGAGGCAGAGAGTTGGGGAGGAACTCATAAATGATTTTTTAGAAAAAACGGATAATAGAGTGAGGTGGTGATTGATGAAGGAGGTGATAGATGGAGGGAACGAGGAGGAGAATGATGGAAGGTGTGGTGGAAGAAAAAACAAGAAGATGGAGTGGAGCTGTGAAGAGTGGGAGGGAGCAGAGTCTGGTTAGTATAAAAGGACCAGAGGAAGGGAGACGCATCTGCGAGAGTAGAATGGTTGAGCCTAGCACAACACATATCAGTGACCACCTGCACCACATCAGAATAAAGAACATTCTCACACATCTGTTAGACATAACATTTGGATTTTCACACAAGAATAAAAACGTGAGCCCAGGAAAATGAAAACTCGGAGAGCACAGTCTCCCACCAAGGCCAATGCTCTATCTTAAAATTTTAGGAAAAGTGATCCAGTTTTTTTTTTTTTTTGTATGATCTTGCTGAATAAACAAACAACACACGTCTGTCTTGGTGAAGGAAGAAGCATGATGACAAATATGGTAATTGTGGGCTGAGGTGGAAACGTTTGTGTAATTATAAATGAGAGGATACTTACTTTATGCATATATTGATCGTAATATGGAAAAGCTTTACGCTCTGAACACAGAAGAATGCTTTCACGATAATACAATTCATAGTTTTATTTATCATTTAAGTGCAAAAGAAAGAAAACTTACTAAATCAAATAAACATTGGTGTGATATTTAGTGTAAATGCCTGTTTCCTTTAGAATAGCACAGATTCTACTGAGCATATTTGTGTATCGTTTTTTTTAAGGCAATTGACAGGTGGGTTGTTACAAGCATCTTGTAGAATTTGTCACAGTTCATCTGTGAATTTAGTCTTTTATCGTGTCTGTGTCCTAATGAAATGCCTAATTGACTTGACTTGATGTTGAGATCAGGGCTGTGTGCGTGTCCATACAATCTGTTGCTGTTTGGAGTCGCTGTCATGCTGCACAATGACTGAGACCGATCAAATGCTTCCTTGATGATGTTACGTGATGTATAAGAATGTAAACATCTAATATGCATAGTACTTTTGCTACATATAATACATGCATATTTGTTTGTACTGTCACTTACTTTAGTTTTTTTTCCATCTCACATCATCAGAGACTTCTGCTCAACCAACCCGAATTGCTCCAAAAAATTAAAAACCAAAATCCGGAAAGTTTGGCCAACGAACCAACTTTGGCAAAATTTTTTCACATATTTAAATTTAAGGCTATATCTGGATGAAAATATGTCAGGAACTCTAAAAATAAAAGCCCAGAATTTTCACATTGAAAACACATTGATGAAAAATGGAACTTTCGTAACTGTCTGAACTTTCACACCTGATTCTGCAAGTGTGTCAAGTTCTGGCGTTTCAAAATGGTTACACACTACTATCATAGCCGTGGTTACCCTCACCTTGAATGTAGGCTACGTAGTAGGTCACAATGAGTTTTTCTCTTTTGTTTCGTGCCATCCTACAAAACCAAAATCAG